GTTCATCTTTCTGGTGGTGCAGGGTATCCGCAGAGCTCTCCTTCAACACTACATCTCAAATGATTACTGGCCCTTACGTCAGTAATTTTAGGAATGCTCCCACTAGAAGCTGTAAATTATAACGGCAAGGCCCAGAAAATAGAGAAACGCTGAAGCAGCCATTAGAATGTCAAATAAATGCCTTTAACTGAAGAACAGAGCAAACACAGGACCTGGGGTGGGGGCGGGTTAGGGCTGTTCATTCAAGGAGGCGAGGGGGGGCTGGAGGGGGAGGGAGCGTGGAGACAGCTGGAGCCCAAGTAAACAAAGCACAAGGAAAGGAAACACACAGTCTCCGTTATGTCCAAAAAAACCCTGGGCACTCTCTGTGGTGGGCACAACTTTGGAATTTTAGTTTGTTCCCTCGCTGATAAACAAGAAGTCAGCCCCGATAAAGATCCTTGGTAACACTTCCTCTGGAATGTACAACATTCCATGTTTCTGCTTCATAGTCACCACCGGACAGGCATGAGTCAGACAGAGAGGTGGAAAATGTGCCCGAGCTACTTATGGGACCATAGGAGGTATAGTCAGCTTGTGAGATGTGATCTTGACATGCTGCTTTCTCTTTCAACTCACCTTGTACAAAGGTGATTTCTTTATCTATGAGAAAAGAGCACAACGAATCATCTACAGACCATGAATTAACCTGGAAGCCAACTGGAACTTATCTAATGCTTATGAATGGTGGGAGCAACTAGCCTCAATGTGATAGACAAAAATATGCTGCCCACAGTTCTCCCAAATGCTTAGAAAATTAAGTCAGTGGAAAGATGAGATTTTTCTGGGGTTTGTTTTGGTTTCTGCCTAGGCTCAACCAGGTAATGGCTATACATACCATGTTTTCAGTATCTGTAAGGCCCTTGGATCACTGGGGTTCAACTTAGTAGACCACTGGCCCAGGAGACTGTCTCCTTGTTGGTCTGGAAGAAAATCCTGAACTCCTGGGATAAATTAGGTCCAATCCCTGTGCAGGATGACAGTCTGGTTCTGACTGCAAACATGAGCAGATTGACCATATTGGCCCACCTTCAACAGGACACAATAAGCAGGGATTCAGACCTCGTGCAGTGCTACCCCCTGTATCAGGAAAGAAGCACGGTGGTTGGATGGACCAAGAGTAATTGCTGAAAAGTCACACAAATCCTAACTTCTATCTGGCCTTTAGAAATAGCCCTACTTATATCAGGAGGAGACCAATCTGCTCTTTGGGTTCCTGTACCATTTTACTAAATCAAGGATTAAAACTGATGGAGGCATATGTGTGCAGTTTGCTATACACAGGTGTTTTTTTCTTTCCTTCCTTTGCTTTAATGCTTTTAGGTGCTGTGCGTTCTCTGGTTCACCCCAGGTCCACCATTCCTTATTGTCTTACATCCAAGGTCATCTGGGTTGGGACCACAGAGTATAGTGCCATTCTGTAGAGCATAAAGAAAAAGACAAACCTTGGCTTCATTGATTTTAGCCTGTTTTACTTTAAGTAATGAATTGTATCTATATTTCTGAATAGAGACCATACCTTGTTTTTCTGAGGGAATGCAATTGTTCACATATGTGATTGATCGCATAGCCCATCCCAGTGTGCTCCTGAGGTTCCCTGTATCCTTTGAAAGGAATGAAGAAATGAATCAATTGGTTACAAAAATATTTCAATCACCTGCTATATGCCAGGTGGCCTGCAGGAAACAAAGATGGAAGAGTGCTCACATTTATTACACATTTAATATGTGCTAGGAACTGCGCTAAGCACTTCACACACATGATCTGTTTTGTTCTGCTCTAAAAAACAGCCTTCAATGTTGCCGTAAGGAGAATAGGTATGACACTGTCATCCCATTTTAAAGCTAAAGGACTTGAGGCTCAGAGAGGTTGAGTGACTTGCTCAAGGTCACAGAGTTAGTGTGTTGCAGAGCAAGGCTTTAGACCCAGACCTTTCAACTTCAAAGTCCAAGCTTTGCTCACTGTAATATGCCTAAACCTGCATTCAAAGAGCTAGCAGTCCGTTTGAAAAGAAAGAGAAACTTTGTAAAAGCTTTCATATTAAAATATGTCCTGATTTTGAAAAGTCTGAGAACTTCCTAGCAATTCTTTCTGGGGGATCCAGGCAGAACGGATGCTAAACCTGCAAGACCATTGGATCACCTGTTAAATATTGCAGGCCTTAGAAAGAAGGGTGCTAAAGAAAACACCATAGGAGTATGATGGGCATAGTGTTATGTGGTTTTAAGAATAAAGATAGACCTCCAAAACAAGCTATTTTAAGAGTGAAGTTAAAGCTTGCCAGAACTGTAGATAGGATTGCAGACTGGAAACTTAAACTTTGTCTGCTCAATGCTGTCATAAAATACTAGTGGCTTATTAAGGCTTGTTACTGTGCCTTATTATGTGCATTATCTCCATTTAACTTCCACAGTAAGTATAAAAGGCTATTATTATCCCCAATTATATAGGTGAGGAAACCAAGAGGTAAAAAAAAAAAAAAGTTTAAATTTACATAGCTCATAAAGGTTAGAGCTGAGACTCAAGCCTGGGTCTTATTCCAGAGTTGATGGCCTTCATGTGCCCCCTCCCACACAAGGACAAATGGAAACTACTATTACTGTGTTTTGAAAGCAGCCAAAAAGGAAGTCTGCATTAAATAGCAAATTCATAATAGAAGAGAGCTATTTGGGACTGGATTTTTTTCTCTTATATCAGCCTCCTCATATTATTTTTTAGCCTATCCATTTTATAGAGAGGGCAAACTGAATATGCTATTAATTTGCTTAGAATAGTTTATCCTTAAGGCTGTTATCAACTTCTTAATTGTCCACATATTCGAATAGATCTAAGACTTCTCAATCATGGCTCTAAAGAAACAGTCCCACTTATATCATGATCTGTCCTTTCAGAAAATAATTTAAATTAAAAAGTGCAAGAGAGATTTTGGCCAAGTCTTGTAACTACACCAATCTGTACGGTGTCATAATAGGATTACCTATGAAAAAAGAATTCATGGCACCACAAGAGAATAAATAATAAGTACTAAAGGAATGTAAAAAAAGTAGATGTTAATGGCAGTTAGTAGGAAAGAGAGATCCTCTGGGGCTCCGGAGGTCAAGAAAGAGAGCAAAGTAATTAATAAAGAAGGTTTGAATTGCACAGATCTGGGCTTGAATTCACCTATACGGCCTTGAGCAAGTTATCTGACCTTTATAAATCCAGTTTCGTTGCCTTTGAAATAGGAATTTTGCGATTAGATCATAAATGTGAAATATTTAGCATGTTGCCCTGCTTGTTCCTACTGTAATGAAACTCTCATTTGTCAGTCTCCGCCATTAGACTCCGGCCTTTTCAAAGACCGGCTCCGTGTCCTGCTCCTCTTTGCGTATCTCAGCCTTTGATGTAAAGCCTCAGCTCACCCCAGCCCTGATGTTTCCTTCTCTGTGACTGGGGGCCCATGGTCAGATCACTCCTGGTCTCTCTGGGCCTTTGACATACTCCCCTGGGAGCAGTGAACGGCTCACCTGATTGGTGAGTCAGGAGGGGCTTGCTCATGGCCCTGTTCACATCCTCTGGGGAGCTCACAGCCCCTTACACGCTTCCATACCATGAGTCTGACAGCCCAGTGCCACCGTGACCGAGTGGGCAAGTCTGCCTAATGCTGGGGCCTGGTAATATGAAACACGTTTTCACACAAATATTGAAAGGTAAAGGGACACCTGTCTGGAAAGGAGTGTTCGAACCAGATTGTGGAAAAGATCTTCTTAATATCTTCATTACAAGACAATTAAGCAGGTTCCTTAAGATATATGGGTATTGATAAAAATCGGAAGAGCCTACACGACTAAGCCCATGGTCAACTCGATTTGTTTTAGATGTTTGGACATTTTTGTTGTGTGTGTGGTTTGGGGAGGGGGTTGTTTTGGGTGTTTTTATTTTGATTGTGTTGAGGTGAGATTAGATATCAATATTTTAAATTTTGTGCAGACTTTATTTTTGTGTTATTTTATACCCATTATTTGATGAATGGATCTGCTAAATCAGTTTTTGTCCAAGTGTGGTCCAGGGTTCTGCGTCAGAATTCCCTGGAGGGCTCTCGGAATGCAAATTTCTGTGCCTCACCTCAAATCTGCCAAACCAGAAGCAGGCGGCAGGGGGCGGGGTGAAGCCTGGGAACCGGAGTTTCACATTCTCCCCAGGTGACTTTTATGCTAATTGTGTTAAGGGCATACCTGCTACAGAGGATGTAGTCAATTTAAATATTCATAAAAGAGTATAGTGTGTGTGTGTGTGTGTGTGTGTGTGTGTGGTTATTGCTAAACCAGATTATTGACCATCCTGATTACTGTTTTAATCTTTTTTTCCTACAGACCAGGTCAGCCCTGCTTACTCAGTCACAGATATTATCACAAGCCCAGCGGGGCCGGGTCGCTGGGTTGGGTAGAGTGTCATCCTTTGCACCAAAGGTGATGGGGTCGATTCCCCATCAGGGCACATACCTAGGTTGCAGGTTCAATCCCCAGTCAGGGCGTGTACAGGAGGCAACTGATTGATGTTTCTCCCTCACATCGATGTTTCTCTCTCTCTCTCTCTATTCCTCTCTTTCTTCCTCTGTCTCTAAAATCAATAAAAACATATCCTCAGAGGAGTATTTAAAAAAAGAAACTCAGCTGGGCCTTTTATATGCGTGGCTATTTTGTGTCTTACTATTAGGTCTCACAAACGAAAACTAGAAAAATTATGGACAGTTTTGAAACCTTTTAAAAATTGGAGACCACACACTTTTTAAAAAGAATAACCACAGAAAGGACCCTTGTGATTCTTGCAAAGAGTCACAGCTCCGTGGGGCCTCCCTCGTCTGGCTCTGACGAGCACCGTTCCCAGGCGTCGGTGACAAGCTTGTATGCCGTGACACTGCCTCCCCTCGGCTTGAGAGTGCAGGCACATGCTCTGCTTTAACCTGCTGTTTCTCTTTCTAGATCATGCAACAGATGAGTGACCACCGCTACGACAAACTCACGGTGCCTGATGACCTTGCTGCCAACTGTATATATATAAACATCCCCAGCAAAGGCCATGTCTTGCTGCACCCAACCCCAGAAGAGTATCCAGAAAGTGCAAAGGTAAAAAACCATCCTTCCTGGCCACTGGAGCTAGCTAGGCTTCCCTGACAATCTTCCTGTTAGGGGATTTTTCATGACAGAGGCACAAATAACAGGGGCTTCCTTTTCCTCTACACATATCAACTTATTAGGGAAGCACAAAGAGTAAAACGTAGGGCACAGGAAGGTGTATTTAACTCACTCTTCTCATTTGTGTTATTGGTCCCTAACGCGTGCCCGGTAATGGAGATGGCCGTGCTTGGCATTCGGAGCCTTCCAAGCACGTACTTGTGCACCAGCTCTGATTAAAGGTCCTTAGCGACACTCAGATACCCAACAAGCACAGAGACCTCCAATGAGACAGTCAGCTGTGTCATCGTTTTCTGACAAGTCTGAGCTGAGAGTAATGTGTTTCTCAAGGCAGAGGTGTGTGAATGACCCAGAGAGGGGGGCGCCCCTTGTCAGGGCTGCAGAAAGAAGGGGCTGCACATCCTAGGATAATACATTAAAACACTCTTTGTCGAAAAGACAGAGCAGGAAGAGATAGTGTCTACTTGGAATCAGCCAACCTGTCCCTCTGAGAGTCTCTGCATGTGTGTTCCAGCGGGAGAATTGTACCCAGATATGGAATTCTTCCCTGGTCTAACAAAATCCCCCTTGTCTTTAGGGCACTCTGCCAGTCTCACCTGTATACTTCAGTCATTTCAAGGGAATCCTTCCAAGCAGATAAAGCAGTGCCCATCCACAGATCTCTCAAGTGTTCCTGTCTCTTAGGCATCCAGCATCTTCATCTCTGCCCAGCTATTTATACAAGCATTACAGAAGAGTTTTAAGTAACCATGGATCTTATGTTTTTTACATCTTAAGCTTCAAAATTTTTAGATAATATTTTATACCATCTTTTAAATATGCAATACTGTGTAATTTCTAGGCTTATCCTCATAATCTGTATCCCTCTTAACAGATAAAAAGAGAAAGGTGGGGAATCCATAGATAATTTTTCTCTATTTCCAAGGCTCAAAGTGTGAACCCGAGAAAAAGACAGAACTTCTGACCCCAGACTGGGCTTAACCAACTCTGGATGAATGGCGGGTCTCACACTTTAATGTGCAGCAGGGTTGTTAAAAATACAGGTTCCTAGAGCCCCCCACCCTGGGATCTGGGATATCAGCATGCACTCACATCACAGAATTAACTCTGGATTTCATAGCTCGGGATCCTTTACGCCTTTTCAGCCACATTGATCATCTGACAACCAGGTAATCATTAACTGCTTCTGAATTTAGCCTTTGTCATCACCAAAAATTATAACATCCATGTGTACGGACAGCTTTTCCTGTGCCAGGTACTGTGCTAAGCATGCTACATGCATTATCTTATAGCCCTGTAACGGGCGCTGTGCTTACCCCAATATTTCAGAGAAGTAATCCAAGACTCAGAGGGGATGTCACCTGACTGCAGTCACACTTTAGGTAGTAAGTTGACAGAGCTGGGTTTGGAACCCAACTCTACCCAGCTCCAGCCCTCTTAACCACTGTCTGAATTTTAAAGAACAAAGTACTTCCTAACAACGCATGGCTGGGCAGTGTGTTTTCAAGTGATTTTGTGTCGTTGTTTTTAATGTGCTCTGTTAGATCATCAGAGAAAAATGTATAGACTGTTAGCTTGAAGTTTTGACACACTCATTCTATGAGTGTCAAAAGATACTGTAAAATTCACACCTGTAATTTAAAAGCAGTTTCACCTGAAATGCTTCACTTAAATGATATTTTCTCCAGTTTTTCCCAGTGGTGTTGGTAAGGAAAGAAACGTTAAAATATAGTTATGAGGGTTTTAAAGTGTAGAGAGAGAGTAATACTCAGACTGAAAACATGGCCACCGCCTTTCCTATATCACTGAATCTAGCAATGACAACATTTCCAGTACCAACCACATTCTGACACATCTCTGGCTTTGCGGTTAAAGCACAGAGCTGGTGGTTAACCGATACTCCTAGCTCGATAGGTATGGCTGTAGGCACGTGTATGGTCTGGACTGCATGCATATCTTGGGATTAAATGGGTGAAAAGCCCAAGTTCACCACCAAATTAATTCTCTACACCTGGTGGGGAGCAGGTGGCAAGACAGAAGCAGAAACATAATCCTTCTTCTCTCCCTTTGCTTGATTCGTGCTGTAGGTTTATGAAAAGCTGAAGGACTACATGCTGATCCCCGTGAGCCTATCTGAACTGGAAAAGGTGGACGGGCTGCTCACCTGCTGCGTGGTTTTAATTAACAAGAAGGTAGACTCCTGAGCTGCAGTCCCTCCCTGCCGCCGGCAGTCCTGCACTCACGAGGCCAACAACTGTCCCCACTACTGTCGTTGTCATTGACAATCTATTGTGCCACTGTGCTACTAACTCTGGTTCACAGAAGTTTAATTTCAGGTTTAATTGCTTCATTCTGCACCTTCCCCTCCTTCCTCTCCTTCCCCTCCTTCCCCTCACGGTGGTACCTAAACTGTGGATTTGCTAAATGAATTAAGCAACCTAGAAATTATAGAGCTAATAAATTGTTAAAATGTGATTAATGATTGTAAGGAAATGCTCAGTTAGTATCTGTATTATCAGTATGAAAATCGTTTAGTTACCAACATACTCTCAAGAATGTCTTCTTAGTTTGATAATCTGGGGATTTTTTTCTTTATAACATTAATCATCTTTGCTTCCTGTGAAATGCCCTGGTCCATGGATTCTCCCTCTTTCCCTCTATTTTTCTTGCAAACTCTGAAAACTATTTTCCAGTTACTTCCCTTTGCTCTTCTCACTTCCATCACAGTCACCTTGACCTTGGGTAAAATCAGGGGCCTTGCCTTCTGCATACCTTCCTGCAAGTTCACCCTGTCTGTCTCCGTGCTCCTCTGCCTCGTGGCTACATCTCCCACCACCCCCACTCTCGCTCAGAAGGGAAAATGGGTCCCTCAGCAGAACTGTGATCAAAATCAGAGCAGCTGTTTGGAGGTGAGTTAACTGCACAGAGGCACATCCTGACAGGGTTTCCCTGGAGATCTAAATTCCAGAAGAAGTAGGGCACCACACCTAGGAAGGTAAATTCACCAGATGGTTGCTAGGGAATCATAGATCAAAAAGCTTGGAAACACCCCATGGGTATAACATCTTAGAAAGTCTTTAAGTCACATTCCATGAATTTTTGCTTCATTACTGGCCATATCCTGACCCTGGGGAATAGTCTTATTTTTTCTTCAGCTCATTCTGCCCCCCTTCCCACCACTTCCTCCCATTGTGACTCACCCTATTACCAGCCTATACCGCCCCCCACCCCGGGCAGTTATCCTGGCCTAGCACAGTTATTCCTTTCGCAAGAGACATCCCATCTAAAACTGATTCTTGATGTCTAGTGTGAGCCAGATGAAGCATGGTCAGGAAGTGATAGGCTGGGTACTTAAAACCAGCCACTGACAATGGACAGTTCTTTGAACTATCCATGAATATTTACTGTGGAATTCAATTAAAACTCTTTTCCTCTCTAGCCTTTAGATTACACAACCTTGACCTGACACGGAGCTCTTACATAAAACAATGCCACAGTGAAGGCAGACATCATTGTCGTTTACTTGAGCCTGAAAGAATCAGCCTGTTAGCCGGCCAGGGAAATGGTACTTTCCAAGGAAAGTGACTGATCCAGGCATGTTATTGAATTTCTAGTCAACTCCACCTTTCTCATATTGCCTGTGGCTTGTTGTTTAAGAGTAAGAATCAGGGAGATTAAGAAATATAACTTGGAGTCTTGCTCTGCTCACCTACATGTATGTAATTAGACATTCCTTATGTTTGATGAACGAGAGTTACCTTCATTCATTTCATCTCCCCCTTAGTAAACGGATGTGATAAACCACTGAGAAAACCAAGACATCCTTAACCACTCTCTGACTTTTTCATTTATTTGATGACTTTTTGCCAGAATTGGAAGAAGTTCCTTCTTCTCCTTGTTGCTTAACTTTAAAATTCATTTCATGCACAAATATCTAATTATATACATCCTATGAATAAACCATATCTTGGTCAATGTCATATTCCCAACTGTCTTATCATGGGTGAATAATATGTTTTCACCGGAGAGAGAATGAATGTGACCCACATGCCCAAGTTAATAAAGAAAAATTATTCTCAGCAGTTATGGTTGTCCTTTAGGGTTAAATACAGCCTTATGCTGGCAAAAGCAGAAATCCCCTTGGGAGAGGTCAACATGTCAAAACAACCTCAGAGAAACTAACCCAATCAGCCAGTGTAGGCTTAATACGAAAGCAAACTGGCACATAATTTTCCATGTCTGTTCGTATCATCCCAATTTAAAGAACTCTTCTCTATTATGTTTAGTCACTTGCAAGTGAAAAGATTTTCCTTTTGATCAATTTGTCCTTCAGAAGCTGTTTTCACTTTTCCTTTCCTTTGCTTCTCTCCCTCTTTCCTTCACTTTGTCTCAAGAAATCACGTAGAATCTGTGTGCCTCTTCTCCAGAATCTTCCTCTGCACAGCTGTGTCACCGGCGAGGCTGGCTTCTTTGGGCTACCTATGTGATATGATGATGTGAAACCTAAAATATTTGCAGCATAGTAGTGTTACTTCTTTGATGTTCTCATCAGCATAATGTTATCTTTGAAGAAGAAAGATAACCTCCTGTCTGTTGTGATTTATAAGGATAAATAAACTAACAAAAATTGCTTCTTGACATTATAAAGACATTAGTAAATAATTGTATTTAACTGAGTAAAAGTTGAGTTACTTGGTCAGTAAGATTTAATATAATAAGGACAATATAGAGAAAGTACATTATTTAGCATTATTTCTTCAACTAGGATGGATTGCTGTGGAAATCAACAGGCAGATCCTGCTAATGTGTATTGATTGCTCTTTCAAGCTACTGTGAACAGATAGATTGCTGAGACCATCTCTTCCTCCCTAAGGGGAGAAAATAGTCTGTAGGTGAATACTGTGACTTATCTAGAGCTGCATGTTAGTCGTTGTAATTATTTACTCTCTAACATTCTGCAGAACTCAGACATGGTTTCCACGTGGTATTGGGTTTGTGCATTTTATTTTACTGACTGTCTTGTTCCAGCCAATGTACGGTTATACACTCTGTGTGCCAAAACCAGTAATGCCTTCCATGACCCTTTAGTCCAGAGAAGTTCTGCACTGACTTTAGTCTCTTGCTGTCCTGATCCTAAAAGTATACCAATCACAATGAAATAAAGTGTCAGTTGTACCGTGATCAACACCGTATGTCTCTCTATTTTTAACAGAAACTGCTATGGTGAATTAAGTCATCATTTCTTTGCTATCAGAGATAGGAAATCTTCTCTCTTTTATAAACTAAGGAATTAGAAGTACCGTAGATCAACTGGCATAAGTAGCTTGAGTTAAAATGATATTTTACCCAGCCAGCATGGCTTAGTGGTTGAACGTCGACCCATGGACCAGGAGGTCACTGTTCAGTTCCCAGGCCACATGCCTGGGTTGCAGGCTCGATCCCCAGTGGGGGGCGTGTAGGAGGCAGCCGATCATTGATTCTCTCATCATTGATGTTTCTCTCTCTCTCCGCCTTTCCCTCCCTCTCTCTGAAATCAATAAATACATATTTTTAAAAAAATTTTAAATGATATTTGAAGAGCTACTTTATATTCCAGGCACTTAAAAAGTATGTATATTCTCCATGCTAGGTCAGGAGAGCTTGATTTCACACATGCTCCTCCTTAAAGGTTTCCCCTGTTCCCTTTGACTCCTGACTGTGGTCAGTACATTATATGGCTCAGTTATGGAGGCAGTTAAACAATTTTTTTCTTCTCTCATACAAAGTTTGTTTATTTGTTTTTGTTTATTTGATTTACAGGAAGCATCTTTTAGGAAATTTGAAAAATTTTTTAATTTAAATTTTATTTTTTAATTACAGTTTACATTCGACATTATTTTATATTCATTTCAGGTGTACAGCATAATCGTTAGACAATCATATACTTTACAGAGTGTTTCCCCTGATATTGCCAGTAACTATCTGGCACCATACGTAGTTATTACAATATTATTGACTATATTTTCTATGCTGTACTCTACATTCTCATAACTATTTTGCAACTACCAATTTGTACTTCTTAATCCCTTTACCTTTTTCACTCCATCCCCCTAACCTTCTCCCCTCTGGCAACCATCAGTCTTTTCTCTGTATCTATGAGTCTGTTTCTATTGTGTTTGTTCATTTATCTTGTTGTTTAGATTCCGCATATAAGTGAAATCATATAGTATGACAAAGGAGGCAAGAACATACAATGGGGTAAAGACAGTCTATTCAATAAATGGTCTTAGGAAAATTGGACAGATACATGCAAAAAAAAAAAAAAAGAAAGAAACTAGGCCACCTTATACCATACACAAGAATAAACTCAAAATGGATTAAAGACTTAACTGTTAGAGCCCAGCCGGGCGTGGCTCAGCGGTTGAGCACCGACCTAGGATCCAGGAGATTGCAGTTCGATTCCCGGTCAAGGCACATGCCCGGGTTGCAGGCTCGATCCCCAGTTGGGGGTGTGCAGGAGGCAGCCGATCAATGACAACTCTTTTGTCATTGATGTTTCTATCTCTCTCTCTCTCCCTCTCCCTTCCTCTCTCTGAAATCAATAAAGATATATTTTAAAAAAACAAAAAACTTAACTGTTAGACTCAAAATCATAAAACTCTTGGAAGAAAACGTAGGCAGTAAAATCTCTGACATTTCTCCTAGCAATATTTTTTCTAATATAGCTCCTTGGGCAAGAGAAACAAAAGAAAAAATAAGCAGATGGGACTACATCAAAAGGAAATGTGAGGTTTTTTAATGAGGCCTTTTTACTTTCTACAATTTTTTTTCTAGCTGAAAGTAGCTTTGTATTCTCTTTCTGATTGTAAAAATAACTGCTCACTGTAAAAATAAAATTCAAACAATACAAAAGAAACTATAAAAACAAATTTCATCACCTAGAGATAGCTACTATAAACGTTTTGGAGCATATCCACACATCCATGAATAGATGTAGATATAAATATGAAATAATTTTACATAATTATGCTGTTTTATGGTCTCCTTCCCTCACTTACCAATATGTGTGGGGCATCTTTCCATGTCAATAAATATAGATCTCCATCATCATCAATTTTAATAGCCCTGAGTATTCCATGTTCTGGTTGTTGAAGTAGCTCTTTCTAATTTGTATGGAGTGTTGTATCACAGATGTTTGGTATGTGCACGTTGCTAGTAGCTAGGGGGTCTTCAGCTGCCAAAAAATGTGTCGCTTATCAGGTTTCACACATGCCCAGAGTTAGTTCAATCTGTTGTCTTCTTATCATAACTGAGTGGTACAAGCAAATGCTCACCGGAAGCACAGACCAGTACTGAAATTCCTTGTAGGGTCATTGATTTCATCACACCTTCTCAGTTGAGGTTGCACTGATTAGTTCTCCCATATGTAGGCTGCCATTGATATGGGCAATGGAGCTAAAAAATGCCAAACTTACTCTGGGCCCCAGGAGGAAATGCTACCTCCACCTAAGTGCCCGTGTGCCCCTCAAAGAGATAGGAGACACTTTTTACCGGAAGAGTTGGCATGGTTTCCCTGACTGATTTTCCTCTCAGTGCCCCAGAAGAATTGAGAAAGGTAAGTATGAGAAAAATTCCCTTTCGTGATGAGCTGCGGACTCTGGAAATGGGAATTCTTCTGAATGAAGAATGCTGGCCAGCAATACTCTCAGGCAAGTGAGCTCATGTTTAACATGCTCACACTGTGCCAGGCGCCAGGTACGGCTCCTGGCTTTCAAGAGCTGACAGTCTGGGAGGGACAGGGGAGGAAGACTACACGTGTGCACAAGTGACTGTGACCCAGCTGAGGGTAAGGTCAGAACTAAAGAGAACTGTGGTGTAGGGGTTCCCAAGGAGGAGTCAGGTTTGATCTGAGCTTGGAGGGACAGCTCCAGTTTCCACAGACAGATGAGAGTCTGTCACTGGAGGTTGAGAAAACAGCTCGAACAAAGGCATGGAGGTGGGTGTGCACTTCAGAAGCACCTACTGTGTGTCAGTTAAGTCTGCTAGGCCAAGGAGATACAATAGTGACAATCCCTGCTGTCCTGGAATTTACATCCAAATAGGAAGACCTATGAAACGAGTTACTGCAAGAGTGATGGGCATTATGAAAGGTGAATAGGCTGCTCAGAGCAGATGGTAGGGCCTAGGAAGTGGATGGGTTTGGCTGAAACATGGGAAAGCATGCGAGCATAGTGAGATCATGTAGGCTGGAAGGTCCAGGGCTGTGCCTGCTGAGGGAGACTGAATTTGTAGCCTGCGAGGATCCCCTGAAGACTTTTGGGTCAGGGAGGGATATCACTTGGAGCTTGGTGTGGCAGCATTGTATTGGATGAATGGGACTTGAGACTGGCTTTTCTCTTAAAAGTAATTTCTCCAAGTTTAATGTGTTATTTAAACATCTCTTCTCCTCACCAAGTGGAACCTGAAAGCTGGGCAATTAACTCTGTCTATATTTTCTCTCCTGAAAAACAGTTTAATAACACCTTCCCCTCCTCCAGAGGGACATTTTCAACGCAAATGAGATAAAAGGGCTGAAAGGTTCTTTGGAAGAAAGATGTAACGTAAATATCATTATCATCATCATTATCCTCATTAACTCCCATCACATGGAGACTGGATCCCATCAGAGTATCATCTTCTGTTAGAAACATCAAAATCACCTACCCCAGAATAACCCAGGATTTTCATCATTGATGCCTCTAAGCTGGCCCCTGACAGCTTCCTCGGAGAATTCACGGGTTTCCTGGGTAGCCGACAGGGCTGCTCCGAAGACACACTTCCATTAGGGAACTGTTGGCAAATGAGACTGTTCCCCAGCTCCCTCCGCCCTCCAAACACTCATTCTAACTCAGTGGAAGCTGGGCCACTTATAGCACTAGATAATGGGGGTTATCAGGCTTTTAGGAGAACGTGTAAGCGCCAAATATGTTGTTGTCACTATAAATAAATAAAAAATTCAAGCCAGTAAGCCAGCAAACCACTTGGTAAAAATATAGCCTGGGCTGGCTTGTGACATGATGGGTCCCTAGGTCTTGGGAAGCCCCCTCTATTTATAAACAGAAGGTTTAGTCATTTGGCTAAGAATACAAAGAGCAAGCTTAGGTGAATTAACACAGACCTTAGAAGGCAGTTTGCTTTCTCCTATGCTTAAATTTTTTTAAAAAAATATTTTAAGTTCCTGTTCAGGGACATGGACACATATTGATTAGCTCAGGTTTGGGGACAGAACTCAGAAGAAAACTGCTCAAAATTAAACTAGGATGCCTTGTGCTATGGGTTGAAATTTCCCAATATTCTATAAAGATACAAAAGCTCTGCATATTTCACACTGATGCAGGGAAAGTTCAGGAACCAAACAAGATTTGATAGCAAGTAACATCTGAGCCATGTAAAAGTATTAGCTCTTCCACCTCTGGAAGAAGCTTGTGAAATAGACAGATTCATGCATCCAACAGAGGCTTGAACTCCAGGATGGGATATGAACAAAGTCATCTATTTTGTTTACCTGGGACTCAGATGAGCATATGAAGTCCCCTAGAGTTAGTGCTAGAACAGCATGATGGGGCTTTCTTTCTTTCTAGGCTTGATAATCATTAGAGGAGATGGAAGGAACATTGTTACCATGGCAAAGAATCTGTCAGGTAGGAAATAGAATTCACCCCCACTTGAATCAAAGAAATTTCAGTGAAGGTCTATTTCAAAGGTATGATGTTAAGGGTACAAACTAAGAGATGGTGAGACACCCAGGACAAGGACAGGAAACTGTGCTTCTAGATTTGGGGCAGGGTATGGGGGCCACAGCTCCAGCCAGCGATCAGGTTCCAGAGCCAGGAAGCAGTACCCCAGCCTTTCTTCCTCTCTGATCTGCTGGTGCTCCCCTCCGACTGACCATACCTGCACACTGACTAGTGACAGGGCCCAGGTGATGCCCCTGCTCGCTTAGCCTCTTAAGTCCAAGAACTGGCAGAGAAAGGATCTGGAATGGGTAGAGGCTCATCAGCACAATGCCACCATGAAAACAAGTTCTTAGCCCATCAGAGAGTGGCCATCACCAACGCTGTTTCTCAAGGTTGGAATTTAAATTATATTTCTTAGCAAATCCCTCAGGCACATGCCAGTTCTATGGTCTGGTTCTCCCTCTCTCAATATCAGGAAATGATTGG